AAGAAAACGTATAAAATTCATAATTCCTTTTGAGTTACTCAATAATTGAAGTTGATTTCATTACTCTATAAATTCAATGTTCATATCTATTTATTTATTAAGTTTATATATACATATTCTATTTAATATTATATCTTAACCGAATATCATGATATGATCTGCACATTGCAGCACGCTACCCAGCCGCCAACTGCCTTGATTTCCCCATACCATCTATGCCATTAGTACCAGTTGCCCCAGGGCAAAATTACAGATTAAGAGGTTTGGTGAACCACGGATTGTCGTCGTAAGAATGTAAGTCATGGTGGTTGCAAAAAGTCAACTGCTTTCCAATTAGTCTTTCGCTACCACATGGAAAATACTCTCTCGGAAAGAGAAAAGGGTGACAGGTCTGGGTTACGTTATTCCGTTTCACGAAACTTAATTCAATTATGCTTTATCGCAGTTGTGAAGAAAATGAAATAAATTGAGTTTGTAAAATTAAGTAAACTTGTTTTGTTAGTCTATTATTGTAGGATCCACAACACACGATGGATCCTATTATCTGATCTGGTATATTACAATATCGAAAGTTTGAATGCAACTTGCTATCATGTGGACTAACGAAGCTTGGAAAAATTGCCTGCTCCCTGCAATTTTTTTCCAGTACCACGCTCACTAGACTCATTGACACAGAAATATAATTCTTCTGTTTTACATTGATTGCTTAAGTTATCATTATTATTATTTATTCCGAAATAGTAATTTGAAGTGGGATTGTATAGTGAAATAGTAGTTTGATTTGGGTTCAGTTTTATTTTCAATTTAAGGTTTTAATTTATAAAGAAATTTTTGCGTGACTTGGGATTTCTATTTATACTGAAATAATTGCACGATTTGGGTTAATAATTTGTATCAAAATAATTGCTTGATTTAAATTTTTTAAGTTATACTTCTTATACAACTTCCAACAAGGTTGCGTTAAACGTTTAACGCTACATTTTTATTGGCCGGGAAATCACGTGGTAGGATCCAGTTTTCCCTCATTCATTTCCATATTGTTTTGGTTCTCACTAGCATAAAAATAATAAAAGTC